TTTTTTCTTTAGTAGTGATGAATAAAGGGGCATAAGTTCTGTTAGGCATCTGATTCTATCCAAGTGATGAATTTTTCAGTTTTTGGGTACAAAACCGGAACTGAACCGTGTTTCGGTTACCGACTACTAGTCGGTTCGGTTTCACTTTTGCATTTAGTGTTACCAAAATTGTCGGTTCGGTATCGATTTTTTTTTTTTTAATATGGAATTAGTTCTACAATTATAGCTCATTAGTATTTATTTAGCATTTTATCAGTTTTGTAAAATCGAACTAGACTGCCAAATATCGCTAAAAAAAATTGCCTAAACATCCTACTGGACAAAATGAAGTCGTTTTGTAAATTGAAGGCGCCTTTTGCTTTTACATTAATGTCTAGCTGAGCTTTTCAAATTTAATTGCTATTTTAGAAGTTTGATGCATTATGTAATCACCACAGATGCATTTATCTATTTATTTGAAAATGGCTTTGATCCGCTTGCTTGTTGCTCGGTTCAAGCGAATGACATACTATTGTCGCAATGCTAGTTACTTAATCCAAGCTTTATGTTTGTCATATGCAAGTCGTGTCACATAACTACTATAGTATTTAATATAGTTGTGGTATAATAACTTTTTTAATTTGAAACCTCTATTTACTCTTAGGAAACTTAAATTGTTAAGCGAAAGAGAATTTCATGTACCAAATATGTGTCGAGTAGAATGAGTCGAGTGTTCTTCTTAAAATTTATTTGTTTTATTTTGAAACTGCAATTTACAAAAGATTTGCAAGTTAAACTTATAACATTAAGCTAAAAAGACAAGAAAGATAGTACTAGGAACAATTTCATATGGATGCTACAAGTAATTTCTAGACTCTTTATGCGTTGAAGGTTTTTTTTTTCTTTATCACATGCCTTGTATGTTGGCATTTTTTTTTTTATCATTTAGCTAAATATAAATTCTTACATAATATTATATTTTCAGTTTTTAATTTAGGTGGGTCATCCCTTAGCCATACATCGTATTATGTATCTTCTAATTTTTTGCGTGTTCTAATTTTTATGAAGGTCGAATAATGGATAATGGAGTTGACAGTTGGATCCACTATGCACAGTCAAGTAATGAGTATGCCCAAGGAGTGGAGGATTTTCTAAATCATGCATTTTCTACTCGAGCAACGGGAGATCAAATTATTTGTCCGTGTAAAGATTGCTATGGTCGTTTCTGGCATCGTAGAGATGAAGTTTATAATCACCTTATTTACTATGGCACTGATCCAAGAATTAAGGAATGGCATTTCCCTGAAAAGAGTTCCCACTCTTCCCAAAATGAAAAGCAAGACTTTCCACATGATGACATCGAAGGCTTAATATATGATACACATCGGGATATTGCAGATAAGTTTTCCGACTCCCATGAAGAACACTTCCAAGCAGGAATGGAGACACATGCCAACATGGAGGCTAAAAAGTTCTTTAAGCTAGTTGAAGATGGAAAACAAGCGGTATATCCCGGTTGCAAATCATTTTCCAAGTTATCATTCATCATTCGGTTGTACCTTTTTAAGTGTGTCCACGGGCTAAGCAATACGGCCTTTTCTAATCTTCTCGAGATAATTCAAGAATTAATTCCAGAAGCCGTACTACCTAAATCTTTCAGTGAAGCTAAGAAAATGGTGAAGGATTTAGGTCTTGATTATCAGAAGATTGATGCATGCCGGAATGATTGCATGCTTTTCTGGAAAGACCACAAAAGTTCTACATCCTGTCATGTTTGTCATGCGCCGAGGTGGAAAGAAGAAGAAAATCAAAATGAGATGAATGATACTAATTTTCAACATTTTCGTCGTGTTCCAGCAAAAGTTGTTTGGCATTTTCCTTTAAAACCTAGACTACAAAGGTTGTATATGTGTGCTGAAACGGCTCAATATATGAGGTGGCATGAGGAGAAAAGAGTCAAGGACGGGAATTTACGACATCCAGCAGATGCAAAAGGTTGGAAAGATTTTGATTCCTTTTACCCAAATTTTGCTAAAGATTGTCGTAACGTGCGTCTAGGTCTTTCTAGTGATGGATTTAACCCATTTCGAACCATGAGCACAACACATAGTACATGGCCTGTAGTTTTAATTAATTACAATCTACCGCCATGGTTGTTTATGAAGCCGGAATTCCTCATCTTGTCGTTACTCATCCCTGGGCCTGTCTCCCCAGGAAATGATATTGATGTTTACTTGCAGCCTTTGATTGATGATCTAAAAGACTTGTGGGAGCTTGGTGTGGGAACTTATGATGCTTTATCTCATCAAACATTTGATATGCATGCTGCTTTACAAGCAACTGTTAGTGACTTCCCCGGTTACGCAATGTTGTCTGGATGGAGCACAAAAGGAAGGTTCGCATGTCCTAGTTGTCATTATGAAACAGATCATTTATATTTGAAGCATAGTAAAAAGTCATGTTACATGGGCAACCGAAGGTTTTTGGATGCGAATCATTGTTGGCGGCGCGATAAGAAGTCTTTCAATGGGGAAAGTGAAAAGAGGGAAGCACCAAATAAATTAACTGGCACTGAGGTTCTACATTTGTTGAAAGACTTCAAAAATAAGTTTGGGAAGACGCAACCTAGAAGAAATATTGAAAATTGTCCGTGGAAAAAGAAATCTTGTTTTTTCGATTTGCCGTATTGGGAGCACAATACAATTCGTCATCATCTGGACCCCATGCACATCGTGAAAAATGTTTTTGATAGCATTTTGGGCACATTATTGGACATACCTGGGAAAACAAAGGATCATCTGAATGCACGGTTAGATCTTAAAGAAATGGGAATAAGAAGTTCACTACATCCTATAGTGTCTACGGGCAAACGTCTCTTGTTGCCTAGAGCATCTTTTTCAATGACAAAGCATGAGAAAACTTTGTTCTGTGAAGTTATAAAAAATGCCAAGCTACCACAAGGGTGTGGTTCGAATATTTCACGATGTGTACAGATGCGCGAATTAAAAGTATCAGGATACAAGAGCCACGATGCACATATTATGATGCAACATTTACTTCCAGTTGCTGTGAGAAAATCTTTACCTAAGCAGGTTGCTCTAGCTTTAATAAGATTGAGTGCATTTTTTAGAGGTATATGCAGCAAAGTGATCAACCCATTAGACTTGGATCTCTTGCAACGTGAGATAGTTGAAACACTCTGTACGTTTGAGAAAATTTTTCCACCATCTTTCTTTGATATTATTATGCACTTACCTATCCATTTAGTTGATGAGGTAAGGTTAAGTGGACCAGTAAGTAGTTGGTGGATGTTCGGACCTGAAAGGTATCTTGGAGAATTGAAAACGTATGTTGGGAACCGAAGTCGTCCTGAGGGCTCTATAGCTGAAGGATATTTGGCAGAAGAGTGTTTGACATTTTGCTCGAGATATTTGCATGATGGTTCACAAAAAAAATCCAAGAATGCAAATCAAAGCTCTGTTGGAGTTGGTGCATTTGATGATAAACCGATTATGTTTTTTAAGATGGGTCACCCTGTTGGGAGAAAAAGGAGAGGGAAGAAAGGAGTTTTCTCACTAGACTCCGACACACAAAAACTGGCACATCGATATGTGATATTCAACTGCGAGGATAAGCTAGTTGAAAAATACATAATGTAAGTATGTTAACCTATTTTATTTTTATTTTTTTTTTATTTATGTCGTTCTTTCTTTTATGGTATTGTGTGTGTTTTGTTTGCTATTGATTTAGTAAATATGAATATTCTACAACAAATTCTTAAATGTTTTCTGTTTGATGTTGATTTCACTAATTATGAATTTTTAAAAATACAGGGAGCATGAGGATATGATGACAGCCAAGTCTGTAGATAAGAAGAGGAAAAGGTGGAGGCAAGCCCAACAGCACAGCCAAGAATTCATGGATTGGTTCAAAAAAAAAGTGGAGTTAGAGCAAGTTTCTAATCATATTAAATGGTTAGCTTTGGGACCTTCTCATGTTGCACGAAGATACACAGGCTACTTTATTAATGGGTATAAATTTTATACTAAAGCTCGTGATGCCAAATTGAAAACACAAAATAGTGGTGTTACTTTGACTGCCTTGACTTCAAGTTTTGCTAGTACTAAGGATTCTAATCCTAGTGTTGATGGGGTCACTTATTATGGGCGTATAAATGATATCATTGAGATTGACTATTGGGGTTCGTTTAGTGTTGTCTTGTTTAGGTGTGACTGGTTTAAAGAGGAAAATGATTCATATGGTCTCACCCGTGTTAATTTCAACAATTTGTGCTACGAGGATGATCCATTTGTCTTGGCATCACAAGTGCATCAAGTCTTCTTTGTGCAAGATGCTACTGAACAAGGTTGCTATTATGCAATGAAAAAGTTGGCAAAAGAATTCATTAATATTAAGGATCAATCAGAGGACACTTACTTTGCTGAATCTAGTGAACCTGTGGGGGATAGAGCGTTATCTATGCTTAACGATGATTATGAAAACAGTTGGAGTAGAGAAGGTGTACCCCCTATTGTCCTTGATGAACATCAGGCTGTCGTTGAAAGTTTGGAGACCAACTCAGAATCCGATGATTCAGGTTAGTAATTGATAGGTATATGATATCTCTCATTCAACTTTAAATTTTATTCGAGAAATTATTTCAATATACATTTTCCTATGTAGGCTGGGTGCTTTTTATTATTATTTATGTGTGTATACGTCATAAAATGTTGGCCTATTTTGTAATTTTGCTTTTCTATCTTGAAAATGTAAACACATGTTTAATGTATCTACCTTTTACATTGTTATTGTATTATTTCACATCTGTAAATTTGCTGAACCCATTCAAAATGCGTATTTTATCCTCTTACAAGAATGTGTATTTCTTTAGTTTTAGTAGCACATATTAGCCTGTAAATGTTAGAAATGCTGAAGTGATCTGATGTTTACATATAGTTTTTGTGCATCCTATTTTTCTCTTTGAAAGTTTTAACTTTATTTGTACTCTTAGATTTAGGAAATAATTTTTTTCATGTTGTGCTCATAATCCAATAGCCAAGACAACTTGTGTAATGTCTTGTGAACATGCTTTTTTTATAGGCTCATTAAAATGCTTGTGTATTGTCCTCTTATATATTTTGGCATTGAAATCCTTGCTTTCAGTTTGACTAAAGCCAAAATACATGAGACTCTTTTTAGTGAAAAGATGCAGACATAGGAAATGTTGAAGAAGATCATGGCAGAGGTGAATGTGCCCATTTTTTACAGTTATATTACCTCACACTATAGTTTATAATTTCAAATTTTTTTACTGATGAAATTTTTTTGTACATTGCAGCATATGGAGAGATTTTTCAAGGATGAAGATGAGCTTCGGAAGGAGTTGGCCTTCATGATGAGAGTCGTGATAATAGTACATAGGCCAAATGAAAATATCTAGGTTGCATATGTTGCATTAGTTTTGCTTTTTATTCAACGGTTTTTGTATTTAAGTAAGTCCTTGGTACTCGAGTTATGGTTCTGACTCCAAGCAACTAGGTACAACAAGATTTTCTAACTTGTGTTTGGTAATTGTTTGGCGTAAGATACTACGTGTTTTTAATTTATTGCATTGCTATTATTTATGGAGCATTGGAGGTGTCACATTACGAAAAATTCTTGGACCTTTCAATAGGGCGAATGATATGTTAGTCATAACCAATACAGAAGATATTGTGTAAATTTAAATTTGAAAGAAAAAGAAAAGGTGAAAACTGGTAATATAGTGTAACTTGATAGTGTAGTATAAGTAGATGAATGAGATTTTAAGACTGATTTAGATAGACTCTCAATATCTAATCACTTCTTTTTTTTAGCACTCTTTTCAAATAAATCCAACAAATTTTTGCATCACATTAAGAATTATTTATGCGCTTCATATGAACCTTACATAATATTATAAACATCAAGAGCGTATGTAGCAGGAGTGAGAATAAGACTGTTGGATCCCGAGATTAAGTTTCCAAAACCAAATAAAAATTTGGAGATAATCAAAATTCAATTTTCAAAACAATATGAAAAGTCGATTCCGAGATTAAGTTTCCAAAACCGAATAAAATTTTTGAGATCATCAAAATTAAATTTCCATACCAGTACGAAAAGTCGGAACGACTCGGTTTGACAATTTTTTTATTTAGAAATGTTATGTACGGCGTTTCAGGGCTATCAAGATAGTTCAGATTAGTACGATCCAATCCTGATATTCTAATTATTAACATACCAATAAAAAAACCAATTTATGTGAATCATTTAACAAAAATCTAGTTACTATAAAATATTGATATATTTTTTTAACTTTTAACTTTTGTGTAACTTTTTATTAAT